TAGCCGAATAAGACAATAAATATAGAGAATAGTTCAGCTATAACACTCACTGCATGCAAATATACATCACAAAACCCTACAATAAGATGAATGGGAGAAGATAACAGTTTCGAAATCTAACGTAACAGGGTAGAGATAGAGATTTAGAACAGAAGCTTTGTTCACCAAATCAACTGAGAGTGAATACGTGTAATAGGAATGATTCAGCACCTGTCCACCCAGATATCTTGAAAATTCTGCTACACCTACGACAAATGGTAGAAGACAAAGAAAACTAATAAACTCAAGTTTTGAAGTCGTGTGATTATAAATGATGTAATGATTATGAACAAAAATTTTATTCGAAACTTTGTCGCCGAGTTAATAATACTGTTTCACTGACTGTGTAATACATATAATAAACAAACTAATATGGAATTACTTACTATCTTAGTCCCCAAGTTTTACACATATCGATACAAAAATAACTTAATCTCTTTTTCAATGTTTAGAGGTGGTATCTTTTTCAACTATCAAGCGTGAGCTTCATTTCTAATTCAATACCTGCATGCTTTTATGAATAACTACAGACTAATTTGCTACTTTTCATAATCCATTCATTCGTTTTTAATTTTTGCCAAAATACAATTTACCGTATTTTGACGTTTGACCCTGTTTTGGCTTAACATTTTCCAAGATAGTTTTGCAAAAAGTCATTTAACTTTACAGCTTTAAGGATTTGTTGACAGACGAATTCCCATGAGGTTTATAAACATTTATTGATGTTAAAAAATATGCGAAAAAGTAACTTCACTCCCAGCCCTTTTATTAAAATACCAAGAATAAAACTTTCTTGAATAATTAGGTCATTCTGTCAATTAGCTTCTATTCTCCCTTGCACTACAGGATACTGTCTACACACCAGATGATGAAATCTTATACTTCGCCTACGTATATATTTTACGTTAATATAAAGAGCTAAAGGGATTGCCACCTCTGGGAAAATCTGTTACCATTTTTTTACTGTTAGCTCATGGGACAACGGAAAAATCCATCTACAGAAAAGAGACCTGGACTGGACAATGTCTTCACTATAACAGTTTCTATCCTATATAAGCTACAAGCAGGAATTATTACGAACACTGTACGAAAGAGACAAGATGCTATGTTCGCCAAACAAAGTAAAAAAAAATTAGGTTTTGTTGAGAAATGCCTAGGAGGAAATGGATGCTAAAAGGGATTTATACGGAACTATAGCAGAGAAAAAGATAAAAAAGAAAAACACCCAACTATAGAAGAGAAAAAAGTGTTTATTTCTCTCCCATTCAAAGGAGATGCAATGTCAAAAAAGATTGACAAAAGACTGAAAGGTGCAATAAAAAAGAAGCTTTCCGGTAGCAAACCCCATAATGTTATACAGCACCACTCCTTCTATAAGCCACTCAAAACTGGACAAATACCTTGCTGATGTCACCTCCAACTGCGTTTATGAATTTACCAGCACTTTCGGGAGCAAGTACGTTGGAAGGACAGAAAAAAAGGCTTCCATCCGGTTTTCAGAGCATATTCCGAGAAGCTCATGCCTAAAAGGAAGCAGATATTTACAAAGTGCGATTGTCAGGCCCCTTGTGGATAGGTGTCAATTTATCGACATTTCCAAATCCTTCAAATTATTAAATATATTCAAAGGACAGGGAATCTACTACGATTTACTGCTGAAGCAATTACAATCAAACGTCTCATAGCAAACTTATTCACACAGACAGAGAGTGTGAATAATCTCTCACTCTCGCGGTAACTGAATTTTGATTTTGATTACAATAATTGATCATCTAATTCAGTTATCTCAAGTTACTGATCCAACTAATCAGATCAAAGGCCCTCAAGGAAAGCACAAGAAATATCGCCCTACCATATATAAAGGACATCTCAGAAATTACTGCAAGACTCTTCAAACCTTTAGGAATTGACGTCGCAAACAAACCAACAAAGTCACTTCACTCAGTTCTATGTCAACCAAAAAACTCAACAACGAAAGGAGGTAAAAACCGACATCATCCAAAAAATTTATTGTAACAGCTGCAAAAAACACTACATTGGCCAAAGTGGACGTCCCTTTCGTCTTCCTGTCCATGATCATAAGCTAGCCGTCAAAAGACATGACACCCACTCTCCACCCCATACCGCTGCATACAGACAACCACGGACATCATTTCGACTGGGACAACATTCATATATTAGACAGAGGAAACCACAAGAATGCTGGAGAATGCTTTAGAAGCCTAGTATTCTAGTGAATTGTCAATCAATGGAAAAATTGACATAAACAAAATTAGGGTAGTAACAAAGGTGAAACTTCGCAGTTCATCGACTATATACAAGATCTGACAAAATTATGCTGTCCTTTGACATTGAGTCACTTTTTACCAATGTCCCATCAACGGAAACGGTCTGCTTCTTATGCTTCATATGACAACCATCTCAATACTGGAATACCAACAACGTATTTGCATGAATTACTACTGAGGTGCACTCGGAACGCCCACTCTGAACGTTCACATTCAACGACACCATCTACGGACAAAAAAATGGTATTGCAATGCGATCTTCGTTGGGTCCACTATTATCAGATTGTTTTGTGGCAAGCCTCGAGAAAGGTCCACTAAAGCCGAGCACTGACAATTTGTGACTGCATATACGTGAACGACATTTTCATTATTTATGACAACAACAATGACTACAATCTACTGCTGAAGACATTTAACTGTTGGCACCCAGCAACACAGTTCACTCTTGAAATGGAAAATGAGTCAAAAATTCCGTTTCTTGATGTGGAACTAACAAGAAGAAATGATCCATAGAAAAGCTACTTAGAATGGTCAACTAACAATCTTCTATAGCTTGGTATCCATTCAACAAAAGCGGAATTTAATTAGATAACTTGCCATCCGCATCAGACGCATCTGTAGTCCCGACATTCTGGAAACAGAATTAGATATTCTAAGAGAAATCTTCATCTAAAATGGATACCTAATAAGATTCATGGACAAAAATGCCAAATTAAGAATTTGTAGAAATGAAACTTCTCTTGCGCCTTAAAAGAAACTCTATATGAAATTGGATTTCAAGGGAGATTTAGCAAGCGATATTCTCAAGACAAGGATCATACCATCTCTGAGAAGAACATTCTTTGCAGCAACGCTAAGAATAGTGTTCTCCAGTCGCTCACTTATCTACAGAAGCCTCAAGGACAAGATCCCGCATCTGGCCACTTCTATGTGCATATATATCAGTTCACCTGCTGCTGTAGAGCCAACTAGGTACATCGATCATTGGACGCGCACCCTGTCCAAGAGAATTCAAGAACACTATCCAGCATGCCTCCTTCAAAGTAATCTACAGAGTCAAGAATAACCTATCAAAGGTAATACACTTTCGTCTTCTTTGTATCGCTGATGCTCTGGCTATTCACATAGAAAACCGGAGGTGTGCATACAAAAGAGGGTTACTCAAGCAATTCTACTGTCATGGTAATAAACGAAATTAACCAATCGTTAAAAAGAAGAAAATCACAATCACACAAAGGGTCAAACTTCAAGTGAAGGAAACAATCAGTATCAATACAGGTAGCCTGGAGAGAGAAATAACTAATCATGTTCTACTTGGTCATCAGGAGAGATGATTAATAAACTCGTGAAGAAATATAAAAGTTCACTTCGAATCGAAGTGTATGCGTTCAAAATGTAGCCTGGCAAGTGAAACAATGAAAACTTCGCAAATAAAAGCATCCCACTAGCACAGAGGAAAAAAAACTATATCGAAAATCTCCACCACCAGACAGATAAAGTTGCAATGCTTCAATACTACGCAGAAATATTTTGTCTCGTGTAAAATACCCTTTGTTAATGTTAACTGCTGAATAGCTACTATGCCAACCCAGTGGGGGGGGGCTGCTGGGGTTGCCCCCCCCCCACCTCTTAATCCCCATCGGCGTTTAACCCTCCGAGGAGTCTATTCCTCGTGGGGGGTGTTTTCACCAAGAGAGGGGAAAGCGGAGCCCGGCGCTCTCCACCGGGTTGACTGCCCATTGGATGACGGTCTAGGGGAGATGGCCAAACCCTGATTCCAAACCTCCAACGACTGGCGTATGAAGCTCACTGGAGTTCACCGGCAGACGTATGGACAAAGGGCTTGTTGGATGTCTGGCCCCATTCAAAAAGGCGTATGAACCGAACTCCGGTCACCGGCTGCCAATGGATAGTGGACTCCTTACTCCACTCCTACTGCCTTGTAGGTCACAGTTGGCTGTGTAAAGGCTAGAGCTGCACTCTCAAACAAAAGGCCAAGCGATGCTGGGGACATCACTCGTACCAAATTCCCATGAAACTTCATGAACTCTCTTACAAATTGCCGCGCCTGAGCAGCGATGATTCGAGACGTTCATGAAGCCGGCTGATCCTCCCGTAGGAGATAGCCGAAGTAAAGTAAAGTAAGTAAGTAATAGCTACTATGCAGTAGGTGTTGTTTTTTTTACAAAAAACTACATGTTCAACACTTCTATAGACTAACAAACATATAAAATAAAATAACGAATTGAATAGTTTTCAAAATCACATTAATTTGCCTAATGTTAACATTATTTTTCTTTCAATAGGAAAGTTTCATAGCTGCGCAACAGTTAAACACACACTTATCGACACACTTACATACATAGGTATGTAATAAATATCAAACTATATTACTGTTAAATTATAATAATAATCTGACCTAATTTGTAGATATATATATATCAAAACTGACAGACTGGCCAATAGGAAGTTAACATTTCCACGAAATACTGTAGATACGAAATTACGAATCAAAACAATCCTCTGTTGAAGCTTGTGAAAGACGGTTCACTTACCACTGTGATAGACGCATATACACATACACCCATCGACACACACACACACACACCTTCAAGATTAAACATTAGAAATCACTACATAGTTACTAAAGAGAAACTATTTGAAAGAATTTCCTATTATTATCATTATTATTACTATTATTACTACTGTATTTGATGCTATCATGTCTCTAGAGATATTGAAGACTATAAAAACAACGCCTTAAAGTCAACATTTTTATAAAAATCTTTTAATAATCATTTAGTGACTAATGCCTTCAGTAAAAGAACACATCTCAAAACATCTACTTGCATCATTTCTAAGCTTTTATTAAGCAATATATATAAATATATATATTCATATAAAATATCTCCAATTCGCACACATTTCACTTTAAACAATGTCGAATAGCTCTAATATCACTGCTGACAGTATTATTATAAATAATATTACTACCACTACTACTATTAGTAGTATTAGTAGTATCAGTCAAGACGAGATTACCTCAGTTTATACTGAGCCTGCATCCGCTTCAATAGATGAGCTAATCTATGGATTACACGAAATCTTACAAGGTGTGTCACCCACATGTCGTCAAGCCGCAACACTTTTCTTATCAGGATTTTTGTTGTCGGTGTTCTGTGTAAGTTTTAATAATAATAATAACTAACAATTAATTAATTCGTTTTTGTTCGACTACTATCTTGATGACTTACTTTTATGTATCTTTATTAGTGAAGAAGACTGACGATATGATTTCTATGATGAGTTGTTCTTTTTTCATAATATAAAGGTGAATTATATAGTTTGTGGCATTATTATTGGGCAATAACGATAAATTCTTGATTTTCTCTTATTCCTTTACGTTCCCAGTGGAACATAGGGCTACTTCAAGCTAGAGGTTTGAAGTTTCTGTAGCGGTAGTGATTATCTTTTAACAGGATGAGATTGCCAGTCTCGTGCCCAACCTTCGCTCTTCACCAGGCTTAATAATGGTTTCAAGAGGTAAAGGAGTGCGTCATTGGCCGGGGATCGAACCCCGAATCAAATGAGGTGTGGTGAGTGAGCATTTAAACCACTGAGCCACCGACGCGTCATTATTAATAGGCAAAAACAATAATTTTTAATTCATATATTCTTTTGATTTTAGGCTTTATTAAATGCTAATAAGGGAATATTTGGCTTAAACAAAGTACTCTTTGAAATCACCGAAAATACCCATTCAATCATGAAGAAAATAAAAGACAAATTCAGTGAAGCAAGATATTCTTCATCGACAAAATCATCTTCAAAGACTGGCTGTACAGTCGTATGGTTCCTTCGAAAAATATATAGTAGTCTATTATTGAGTAATAGTAGGGGGTGACATAATTGATATAATTAATCATAAGTGGCTTTAGAAGTGAAAATTAAAATTTTTAAATTACGTGGTGCTCAACAGCACAAAAGCCAGAAATTTCATAAGGTTAAAATTGCTATTGAGTGAGAATAAAGGTGGTAGTTGAGTTCAAGTTTAAAAAGTGTGAAGAGGGTGTGAAATGTACAGAAGGAGCATATTCGAGTGATAATAGTGGATTAATTATCAAAGCAAAAGCAAACTAAAAGTAAAATTAAAAACTAAAAAAGTAAAGAAAAATCAAAACATTTTGCATAGAACGACTAGTGAAGAGATTAATATCAAGGCAGACTAAGAGACTGGACAAACGTTTTTTGCATACAGAGTTCAGGGTTGTATTGACGAATCGCCTGCGCCTCCATCATACACAAACGTCAAAACCTGATGCCTTTTGTACCATTTGGCTTCACTTTTTAGATGATGTTGAAATACGAATCTGGTGCAGCTACGTGACCTGAGTTGATGAAATGCTCGAGAATTGTGCTAATAATTGTCTTGCATTTTCTCAACCTCTTCACACTTGTTAAATTGACACTCAAATACCACCTTTATTCTTACTCAATAGCAAATTTAACCTTATCAAATGTTTCTATCTTTTTGCGCTGCTGAGTACCACACAATTTACAACTTTTAATTTTCACTTCTAAAGTCACTTCTGAGGAATTATATCAATTATGTTACCCCCTACTATTACTCAATAATAGACCACTATATATTTTTGGTAAGTATAATTACGACTGTACAGTCAGCCTTTGAAGATGATTTTGTCGATAAAGAAGCATTTTCTTCGCTGAATTTGACTTTTATACTCTTTGAAAATTAGAAGTTCAAAAGTCGCGTATTATTCAAGCACAGACAACATGAGCAATAAATTGTACTCGAAATGTTATCAGTAAACATTACTGTATAACAACACTGTGAGACTTTATCAAAACAAAATTTACCCATAATGGAATTATACTCATTCACAGTGCACAAGTTTTATTCTTATATCAATCATACTTATGGTCTTCCTACTTAGGAAGCTTATCAACAAACTCACACAACTTAATCAAACTGAAGCAAGATTCACAAATCATCGAATTTTTAAAAAAAGATAACATTGTCATATCATACAAATTTAAATATTATACTGAATTTAGTACTACCTATAAAATTGAAAATTAGACAATCTGATCACTGTAACTCTAAATACCTTTACGGGCATTTCTTACTCTGATGTGAATAAAATATGACTATAAGGGTAAAATAATAAAGATATTCCCATAATGATTATTATAGAACATGATGAGGAGAACAGATAGAATGAAAAACCTGCTAACTATGCAGAAGAAACGCGTATATACATGAACTTACCGTTTAAAAAAAACGGAACACATGAATTGTTCGCACTACAACTTTGTGGTTAAAATTTGCAACTCTTTGTATATATTTCGAACTCAGGTAAAGGATAAGCTACCCAGTTAGTCCACTTTGATGAGCATTTATGAAGTTGACCGTTCATGAGTAGACAGAATGAGTCGACAAACTCACTGTTAACTTCTGCAGCATTATCCAACGTAATAGGTTAGACAAAGGAGTCATAGAGGCGATCAGAAGTTCAATATTTGCACACCTAGTATAAATGGAGAACAAGATTGACTAAAACTCAGCATGTAAAATTCTGTACAAGGTGAAACTTCAAATTCCTTCTGGTTGGTACGTCTTCGACTGCTAAGCATAGTTGGGGCAGTCATCAGAAACTTTTTTAACCTCTCTAACTCCCTTGGCACTCACCCTAAAACTGAAATAGTTATCTCTCCTGGTGATTCCAGATAGCTGTAAAGATTATCTTACTATATTTCTATTTTATTTCATCTGTAATGCTAAGTGGATCATCAATATCAGGCTGTGTTGTGCTGCAGTTGTACACTTTATTCTCGGTCTCACAATTTATCCTTAGTATTATATTATCTAATCGCTGTGTGGTATTTGTTATTTTCACGTCTACCCCTAATCGTATACACCTTCTGCCTCGTATACACTCACCACTTCCGAGATTATATAAACACTTGAATGAATTTATCCCCGTTGGTATTATTATTATGATGATGATCGCTTCGATTGTTATGCATTAATGCACATCCCTAATCGCGTCAGTGGTATAGGGGTTAGGACTCTCGCCGACAGTGAACATGGTCCGGGGTTCAGTACACGGCCACCGACACATTTCTTTACCTAGCTGACCTAGAAATAATGCTGGTAATAAGGAAAGGTTGGGCATGAGGCTAGCAACTCCATCCTGTAAAAAATCAACACTGCTACAGAAACTTCAAGCCACTGGCTTTAAGCCCCATGTTCCATTGAAGAAAGTGAAGGGGAAAAAATGCACATCACTGAACTTTGAAGCTTGATAATCTACCAACCGCAATAATTCAAATGTCCCTGATTAATATATGAAAGAGACTGTTTGTTTAGTAAAGATATTTACGACGTGTTTTCAGAGCAAAGGGAAATCTTTCACTGCGATAAATGATGTTTGTCCTTACCATCAATAATTTACATCCTTATGTTAGACAAAAAGGTTGCTGTCAGTGTGAGTGTACCAGCCGACTCTTTAGCATTATGTGACAGTTTTTCAGAGAAAACAGAATGGAAGGGGTTATGTAAACGAGTGGCATAGAAAAGTAATCAAACCTGAGAATATATCTCACTGTTAATGGAATTCGGACTAGGCAATAAAGTTCCATAATTTTTTGCAACGTTAAAGGTTTTCTTTAATATTTGACAATTCAGCTTACTAATATCCTTAAAAAAATAAGATCCGGATTTTCAACTCCAATGTGAAGTCAGTCAGTGCTATTATACGTATCAGAGACTTGGCGCGTCATAAAGAGCACCTCAAACAAACTTCAGACCTTCATTAACAGTTGTCTTCGCTCAACACTCAAGATCAGATGGCCAGTCAGAAAAGATCAGCAACAGGGATCTCTGGCAATGAGCGAACCGACCCAGCAGGAACCGATTGTGAAACAAATAAGCAGGAAGAAATGGAGATGGATGGATTGGCCATATGCTGAGGAAACCATCAAGTGACATCACTGGACAAGCCATTGCTCGAGTGGAAACCGAATGGGAAGCGGCGAGTCAGTCGTCGGTGCATGGGTGACTTTGAGGAGGTCATGTGAAAAGGGGATGAAAGCATGTTGGCAGACTTGAAGGTAGGTGAAAACGTTGGCAGAAAACCGAAGGCAATCGAGACGCGCAGCTGAAGCCCTATGTTCCTCCAGGAATTAAAGGATATAATAATAATAATGTCCCAAAAAGTGCAGCTTTTCGGAACTCACTATTCTGTCTCGAGTAACGTTAATTCACATAGATTATCAGTTAGGAAAATAAAATTGCTATATATGGATAAAACTTGGGCACTGTGGTGGTAGAGTATAACTCCATTATGGAGAAAATTTTATTTCGAAAATATTACAAAGTTGTGTACATTAATATATACTGATAACGTTTCGAGAACAAATTGTTGCTCATAATCATATCAAGGTACTCTCATAAATTTCTTGCTTCATTTTGTATACACGCGTAAACATTGATGATTAGACATATGAATAAAATTGATGGAATTAGTTTGTGTAAAGGAATTCAAAAGATTCTTACAGGACTTGGTGTTTAGGGATTTGATTTTTCTCAATTTCCATCAAGAGCTCACATCATTACACCATTAGAAAACCAGCTAGGAGTACTAGACAGCTTTTTAGTCCTAGTTAGGAACTTCTTGGCAGCACGCACCCACCAAGCGTAGAATCCAGGATTTTTCGGCTACAAGGAAAGCTCGTAGAGAACTTAGCCACTGAGACCCAATCTAACGGTACATGAATTCCAGCTCCAACAAATTCCTGATCTTATTGCTATCAGCAATCAAAGTTATCGGCGAATATTTGTTCTCACGCCGGAGATGTTAGACAGGACTGGTAAGGACTTTTCGCTAGAAATCCAGGCAATTTTGTCCAGGTACCTTCCAGTTACAGTGCATGGTTCTAATCCTGAGGGGTGCGTACTGCTGAAAGATCCAAAACAGCTGCCAAGTACTTCCTTGTTTTCCAATGTCTCTGTAACTGAAGGCAGTTACTGACAGAGAAAAACATTTTTACAGTTGCAGAAGGAAGTTAATCCACAGTAATATGTATTATTAACTCCATACAGACCTAAAGCAGACAGAAATTAGTAATCTTTATTTATTCAAAAGCTACTTCAAAAGA